TAATTTAATTGTCTCCCGCCCCCCTCCCCCCTAGAAATTTCTTCCTTTTTTTTAACTTTATAGTGAGAAGGTAAATCATTTTACATTCTTTTTTTTTAAAACTATTATCTTTTTTCTCGTCTTTCTCCACTTTTTCATTTGTTTTTTTTTTTGATTAGTTAATTTTTACCCAATTTTTTCTCGTTTTTCTCCACTTTTTCATGTTTTTTTTTTTTTTTTTTTTTTTTCGGTTCATTAATTTTTTCTCGTCTTTCTTTCTTTTTTTCTTTTTTTTTAATTTTAGGTGCCCCAAAAAGTTCTAACAATCATTTACGATCACAGAGCACTGCGGAAGAGCATTTGAAAGGATGTTCACGGCTCCTTTCTTACTGAATTGTATAACTTGTCCAGAGTTAAACCACGAATCTTTAACTTATGAGGCAAGCGTGATGAACCACTGCGCTACACTTCTTCACTTTTTTATTGTTTTTTTTTTTTTTTCTGTTTTTTTTTTCAATTCATTATCTTTTACCTGATTTTTTTTCGACTTTTTCCACTTTCTCATTGTTTTTGTTTTTTTATTGTTTTTTTTTGGTTTGTTAATTTTTTCTCGCGTTGTCTACTTGATCATTTTTTATCATTATTTTATTTTTTTGATTCATTAACTTTTACCTAATTTAAAAAAAAATCTTTTTTAACTAATTTAATAAACTTTGGATGAAAAAACAAAAATAAAAATACTTGTATTAAAAAATAGTAATAAACATTTATAATATTAGTATAAAATAATAACATTATTAAATGCATATCGTTTAGACTTCAGGAAATACAAGAGAGAAAAAGCCATTTAGGAAAGATACTGCAAAACCATTAAAAATAAATTCTTGGCTGGAATTTAGTTCGACACACAGAAAAGATTTATCGTTAAACATAGGTTTCTACCCAGGATGTCGGCATTCTATGGAGTCTTAAAGTCCAATAAAAACTCACAACCCAATTGTTTCAGGTAATGTTTATACAATCGCCACAATTGTTACTTCTCCCGATGTTTGACAAAATTTAAAGCTACAATTCTGATAGTTATATAAATGATCATACAATTATATGCTGCAGCAGATTAACAACATCTAGAAAGGTGAAACAAACAGTTTAGAAAATGGCAGTTATTGCTAAAAAAGTGGTCAAACTTAGCATCCAAACTTCATTTTAAAAATACTTTGAGCAGCCTTTGAGTTTATCTTTTTTAGTTAAACTTTTTCTTGGAAAGAAGTCAAATGACCTATTGTTGAAAAAACTGCTTAAAATGTCTTAATTATTATAGATCATTCTTATCGGGAAATAATATTTTCAGGGGAGAGAGAAAAGAACTAGCAGAGCTAGTGGTCAACTAGCTTTCTTCATTAATCATTTAAATTCAAAAAACTAGAGCAATTCATTATGCAAGATTTCTAGAGAAATCTGAATATTGCATGCAATTTCTTTCAATCCAAATTGATTTTTTTTAATTTATAAAAACAGAGGTTATGTTAAGTTGGTTACTTAAGTTAAAGCTTGATTTTATGCAAAGTGGTACCTGCAATTAAATTGTACAATCAAAGCTCCTTTTATAAACGTAACTGCTACTTTTCAGATGCATCAGTATAGGTATTATATATATTAATAAGGCAGTGTAGAACCATTTGTAGAACCATTTGCCGTTGTAATTTAATTTTTAGTATAAATTGAAGTTTTATTACTTTGATCATTCATTTCTGATGAGTCTTTATTGATGAAACACAATGTTAAATGAAAAAAAATTTTGCTAAGTGATTTTCTACTCATTTGTAATTGCTCTGTTCTTTTAAGAACATTGAGTACTCTTTTTGTAGAATACATTTTAAATTGTTTAAATATATATATATATATATATATATATATATATATATATATATATATATATATATATATATATATATATATATATATATATATATATATATATATTGTTGTTTTGATTATTTGATAATAATCAACTCTTTTTCGATTTGAGAGTGATTAATATAAAGTGAAATAATCACAAAATAGATCAATAAATAAATAAAAGGTTAGATGAGAAAAAACAACTTTTTTACGGTACTTAAAGTTTCATGCCGTTTACGGCACTCATCAGCCATATATTTAAATCAAGAAAAAACCGTTCAAAAATACAATTAAAAAACCGTTACAAAATGCAAAAAAAAAACAATGGAATGAGTTCTATATTATATATATATATATATATATATATATATATATATATATATATATATATATATATATATATATATATATATATATATATATATATATATATATATATATATATATATATATATATATATATATATAGACCGAGCTGTCAAGTCCAAGTGAAATAAGAAAAAATTTAGGATAAGAGAAAGGATAAAATAATTAAAAATATATATTGAACAGATGTTCAGAACAAAAACAAAGATACTATAGTAAAGCGTGTAGTAAAAAATAATAACAATAATTTAGACACCGCGCATGTAAAAGAAATGTAATAAAAATAAAAAAGGACACATAAGTAACCATAAATCTACAGTAAATACAAATGTTAATATACTTATATATAAAAAAACATTTGTATTGATATATCAGCATTTAAAATGAATAAATATAAATTCATAGGAGGTATAAGATAAAGAAAAAACATTATTGCTTTTGTGTAATCATAATTTATGTAGTGGTGGTAATAAACTTCTCCTCAGAATCGTGTTTATTATTACCGGCGTTTCGAAGAGGCTCAGCACCAATACCTAGTTTATCCCGTCAATTAAACATCATTGCTATTTATGCTTTACCCCGTGATTTACGCCTACTCCATATTGCAGTAAAAAAGAACTCCACTAAAAAAACAGTTAAAACCCTAACCTCACCCAAATTTGTAAAGCACTAATATTTTTGAAGAAATAATATGGATAGTGAATTTCTCATGTTTATAAAGCTCAACTCAATAAAAGAAACTTTTCTTCACACAAAAAAGTTATTTTGTAATTTACTTTCATTTAAAAAAATCAATGTTTAATACAACTGTTTTTTACCTTATTTCATTTTTTAAAAACACCTAAGACCCAAAAATTTAACTATGGCTGATATATTATATTTTTACATACTTCTTTATATATCTTGGTAAAATTAACAAACAATTTTTTGGAAAGTAAGATAAACCTCAACCTCTTGAGGTGATTATGCCATCAATTGGCAGCTTATTTTTATTTGAACTTTTAGTTGACTTTTTGAATGCTAGTTCTGCAATTCTTAATAGTAAAAAAACCATTAGGTTTTACAAACCAAAGACTACCTTGTTTTTTTAAATTGTTATATTTTTTATTAGTACCACAATTATACTCTTCAAAAAAATTTGATTCATTCTACAATTTTTTAGCCAACATAATTAAGAGTGTTTTTTGATTTGAAAAGTTGGCAAAGTCAACTTTGCCAACTTTTTGAATAATGCGTTTTTTGATAAAAACTACTAGATACGTATCTACCCAAATATTCAAGTAAATTTTTTTGTTTGTTTTCAAAATAAAGTCAGCAAGGTTATATTCTATAAAAGGCACAATAAATAAAGTATTTACAACAAAAATTGAAAATGTTAACTTTCATATTTATTCTTAAGTTTCTTAAATGTTAACTTTCATAATTATTCTTAAGTTTCTTATAAATAAGTATTCTTTATTACAATTACATGGTCAAAAACTGGGGACTTTCATAAAGTACGCACGGTGGCATGGGGTTTATCCAAAAAAAGTACAATTTGAGTACAAGAGAGGATAGGGTTTTAAGAGAGAGTACGTACGCAGTTTGACTATCTCTCTTTATCTCTCCTAAAACTTGATTTGTAGCAGCCGTGGCGCAGTGGTAGCGCACTTGTCTCAGAAACGTAAGATCCGTGGTTTAAACCCCACCTCTAGGAAAGTTTTGCGACATCGGTTGGGAAGGAGGCGTGAACTTCCTATTAAATGCTCTTCCGTGGTGCTCTGTAATAAGACCATAAGGACATCTTGGGGCACCGAAATTAACTTTTAAAAAAAAAATTCTTTTTTTAAAAAAAGCATTGAATTTAACGAATATAAAAAAGTCAATATTGCTTTTTGTTTGACTTCGGTTATTTTTTTTTAATTTTGTTATAAATAATTAAGAAAAAATTTTGGTTTCTAATGTTTTATAAAAATTTCGCCTTTGGAAAACAGGAGTTGATTTTGTAATAAATATGTATTTATTATATAAATATGTATGTATAGTTGGAGGGGGCGTTGAAAGCATACAGGTACGTATATGGGGGAGGGGGTTTAAATTATTGGTTTTGCTGTATACGTTAGGGGTATAATATTTTTACAAACTCAATGAGCATTTCATATTCTGATGAGCTTTTGTAAATAATTAAGAGAATTTAGTTTCATTATAAAATAACTTACGCACTGACCCGCTAGAAAGCGGGTCAGTGCGTAAGTTATTTTATATTAGCGTAACTAGAGTCAAATGCTGTTAATCACATAACAAATACGCCTAGAAATCTTTTACTGGTAATTTGAAGTAAAATTTTTTCCGCTTTGCCTTAAAATAATAATTTATGATCAAATAAGTTATATATATATATATATATATATATATATATATATATATATATATATATATATATATATATATATATATATATATATATATATATATATATATATATATATATATATATATGTGTATTTATTTGAGCAGCTGTCGCGCAGTGGTAGCGCACTTGCCTCAGAAACGTAACATCCATGGTTCAAACCCCACCTCTGGGCAAGTTTTGCGACATCGGTTGGGAAGGAGGCGTGAACTTCCTATTAAATGCTCTTCCGCGGTGCTCTGTGATAAGACCGCAAGGACTTCTTGGGGCACCTAAAAAACTTTAAATATATATATATATATATATATATATATATATATATATATATATATATATATATATATCACGTAAATAAATTAACAAAACATTAAAATGTTTAAAAATTTATATTGATAAAACTACAATAACTAAAAAGGTTTGCATTTGCTATAATCGTGATTTGTTAATAAATATTCAAATACAAAGTTTCTTCAGAGTTGCAAAGACTTCATGTTTGATATCTTTTAAATCTTTTACTGCTCGGCACAAATTTTGGACTCTTGTGTATAAGCGAAGGAATATCACACTAAAACTTTGTGAATGTATTGATATCCTTTGGGTGATCTTTTATGGCTTCCTCTAATTCTTTACCATTTTCAGGGTTAAACATTTGGTTGGAAAATCAGATCTCTGCTAGTTTTCCAGCAAGAAGTCTAACTGCCATCTCAAGTTGCTGTATATCTGAATGAAATACTATGCAAGCAACTAGTAAACAAATTGCCCGGGAGTTCAATCTAGATTGGCTAATATTTGATAAACCTATAAAATTAACCTTAAGAAATTTCTTTTCATTCCAAACGTATTTCACTACGTTAATCAGATGTTTTAAAAACTTCATGTTATCTCTCCATTTTAGTTCATTCTCCTTCAATTGTGCACCACTATTGTCAAAGTTCAATGCTAATTAGTCATATTTACTGTTTATTGCTTCAACAAAATATGACAATTCAGATGAATTGATATTCATTTTCATTCACTTCAACATTATTCATTCACTTCAAAAACGTCATCCAGATATAACTTTAATAATCGATCTAATATATGGTGTTGACAACAAACACAGAGAGGTTTCTGAAAGCCAACACATTCATCACCATAGATCATCACTGTCACTTGCTGACTTGTTACTACTTTTGTGTTCCTTTCTGTATTCATTCAGAATTGAAGTTGATGGCTTGATGAAACGTTTCCAATTTTAATTTTCTCTAAAGGATTTATTTCTTTAGGATCATCAAGATTCATTATAGTATATCCAACTATACCAGATGTCTCTAATTGCTTTAAATAAAGACTTTTATCTTCTGAATGTAATCAAAGTCCGTCCTCCTTTGTTAATACTAATACATCAAAATTATAAGTACCTGGTTTTTTCATTTCTATTTGTCTCTTTTTTATCAATTTTTATTATTTTTGACATTGGTCTTTTATCTATAGTTGGAAAATACAAATTAGACCATAGTTCTAAACATTCATCTGAAATTTTCTCTATACGTCCTTTCACATTTTTACAGTCTGATGCCAAGCTGGTGTATCGGTTAATTATTTGCCAATTTGTTGTCATTTTACATATGATGATTTTTGAGATTTACTCTTACGTAGTCTTTTACATTTCTGTGAATCGTGAATTCATTTTCCATACGTCTGTGAAGTGAATCGAATTCATTTTCCATACGTCTCTTGATTTTTGGTTGTAGCAGAATTTTAGTTTGACATATTGAATGGTTGTGTAATAACTGAATTTATAATGCCTTATACAATTTATTATTTTATTAGATTTAATTACGCAACAAAATTTCACTAATAAATAAAACAAAAAAATTTTCCCTCGCAGAGTATTAAGTTAAATCAGAAATCAAAATAGTACGACAATCTGATAATTACCGCGTAAAAGAGCTTAAGATCTGTTTACTTCTGTTTTTATAATAAATTCAGCTTTGTGTAAATTACGGAAAATCCCTTAGAAAAAAAATCCCGAAAAACCTAGTTAAGTAAATATGATATATTTTTTAAATGTTACATTAGTAAATAATTTTTTGTAAATCTAAAAATGATTACATAACCTATAACCTCTGTAATCTCAAAATTAAGAAAAAGGTTAAAGACTTCATTGAAACTTTAAAAAACTTATTTATGCTGCTTTAAATGTTTTGTTAAATTTGATTTGACATTGCTCTTATAATCGCATAATGTGCATTTAAATAGTTTGTCGTTTGTATGAGTTCGATGATGAGTCGTTAGATAAGCTTTAAACGAACATTTATAATCGCAGAGAGAACAATGGTACGGTTTTTCTAACGTATGTTTTCTTTTATGAAACGTCATACTTGTCTTTGATGAAGATTTATAATCACAATAAGCACATTTGTATGGCTTGACATTGGTGTGAGTTCTTATATGAAGGGTTAAACTACATTTCGATTTGCATTCGTATTTACAGTAGGTACATTTATATGGTTTCTCATTGGTGTGATTTCTCAAGTGAACGGTGAAATTTGATTTATGCGAACTTCTGTACTCACAATAAGAACATTTGTACGGTTTTTCACCAGTATGAGTTCGCATATGCGATGCAAAATTTTTTCGTCCATTAAATATGTAATCACAATAAGTACATTTTATTAGTTTTACAATATAGTGAGATTGTAAATGTCTTTTTAAATCAAATTCATTATTACATTCGTATTCACAGTATTTACATTTGGATGGTTTTTCATTGCGATGAGTATTTAAGTGTTTCTTTAGTGTGTTTTCGAATGTATATTGATAACCACAAATCCAACATTTATATGGTGCCACACCAGAATGAACTTTTATATGTTTTTTCATAT